TCATATTTTCATTCACACTTTTCATCCACACTTTTCATCAATTTTTATCAAAATATACTGAACTTTTAATCAAAAGCTTTGTTAGACAACCCCTAATTAAAATCTCCTCAAATTCCTTCAATTATATGTTAGCAAGATTCAGTAATTTGGAGAAAATGATTATCCAATTTTAACTGCTAATTGGTCAGTATTAGTATACAGTATTTCAGGGCTTTTTTCATCTCTACTAAGTGGAACAAATTATTAATGAGAACAAAGAAAACTATCTTTATGCAGTATAAACACTTAAAGGTGGTCATTCTTGTATTCCCCCACCATTTTGAAAATTGACAACTTTCACATTTAAGATCCGAGAAGAACTCATAGAACACCAGTTCTCTATTGAGATTTCTTGTATTCCATAATTGTATTCGTTATTCTCGGAAAATAGTTTATGATGTTGATGTTCTCAACATAGTTGAAGCCAGTGTATTTAATTTGATAGCATAGAGGAAAGAATTTTGAAAATGTGAAAGGGTGCATGTCCATTGTCTTTTTCTTGAGCAGGAAATCTGAGAAAGAGGGGGGAAATAGAATTAAGAGACAGATAAGAGGGGAAGAGCCAAGGAAGTGACAACATTGATATTTTCACAACCACAGCGGCCAGCAAAATTTTACTTCGACAATATTGAGGAAACAGTGGAAATATAAGAAAAGGTATTTCCATTTTGTCTTTTCCTTTGACAGGAAAGGTGACGACTAAGATGGACATAACTCCAAAATCCAAAATTTTAATCATAAACTCCTAATTCTTACATTTTCACAAAGTGTTGCTTCCCTGTGCATCTTTCCAATGTGAAAGGGGAAAGCTAAAATTTTATCTTTCAAAGTATCATGCAGAGTATTATTTTTTAAGAACTCAGTGCCTTAGCATTGGTATAGCAACATATTTCAGTAACCATAATAAAAATATTGAAATGTTCTGCAATGTAGGGGAGAGGAAATCTTATTTACATTAACTCTCCAGAATGTACAGTAAAAGACAATAATTACTCTACAAGTTTCTTTTGTCTGGAGGAGTGTTGAAAACCTGAAAGACTTGTAAATAAAAATTCAAACCTTAACCAGCTCTACATTGTCCTAGCTGCAACTACAACCTACCTGAATCCTCATTGCTATGCTCGCTACTTCTAACTGATGAATCCCCAAAGTAAGAAGATCTAGAAGAGATAGTGGAAGCTGATATGGAAATTAAGGAACATTTATTCCATAATTCTTTTTTGGGGAACGTAATGTTCCTCCTACGTGAAACAGCATTTGAGCAGGTGGTCTTCTGTTTGTGCAGTGCACACGTGCAATTGCGATGATATGGCCTCCGCTCAATATCCATGTCACACATTGATAAACTTCCCTCAAAAGCACACTGAAACATCAGGTTAGCTGCTTGGGTGGCCATTCTCTCCTCTCTCTATTTGCTTGTCTCCTAAATTTCTAATTTGTTTCAAAGTTTGTGTGTTCTGTGAATTGTGTCTATTAAAGTGAGGGAAAATTAGTTGAAAATGTGGCATATTTTATGAAGGGTTTATATAGAGCAAAGAATTATTCTTCTATGATTAGAACAATGGTAGTGTAGGAGTAAACTAGATTCAGAAGGCTTTTAGCGTTGAACTCAAGAGAAGCTTAGTTTGGAGTTGTTTTTGCTACAAGTAGCTTTGCTCTTTGTTAGAAATAAGCTATTTTTCCTAGGGAAGTCTTGATTCCTAGTTGTGGGGCCTAAAAGAGAATAAAAAATAACAGAAAAGATGCTGGGGAAGTGATGTTCTGGAATTACAAGGAAACCTAGGTAAAGGCTTTTAGCCTTCCTATGTTTGCACCTTTCAGTATATTCTTGTTGCATAGTTTTTTCCGGTGCATGGAATGTTTGCCATTTTGTCATAATGCAAGCGGTGGGAAAACTAATTTTTACATATTAAAGGATCTTGTTTATTCTGACGTCTATTATTTCTTTTAAGTATGCTGGTGATACATGTGTAGAAATTCAGAAACAAAATAGGTTTCAAAGTATTTAAAAAGAAAATATTCTTACACGGATCAATATCATAGTGCCTTCTAGTACAAGAGTTTCTAGAGTATAATTTTTCTTTTAAATGATGTATTTATAAGTCAGTAATCTTCTTGACAATAAATTTATCGCCCAAGAAAAAATAATTCCTTCAGTTTCCTACTCATTGGTCTTCAAGATTCTATAGAGAATTTGTTCTTCCTCTAAAACCATGGAATCTCTTCTGAGAACGGTATATGTCAATGAAGTTAGTTTGGATCTTTGCAATGCAACTCTGAAATTTTTGATGTAGTCGTATTGGTATTGTATCACATATGTTAATTTTTTGTTTCCAATATGATTGTCCTTTCAACTACATCTCCAAAGAGGCACTTGACAAAAGAAGAGTCAAAATTTGTTGTCCCCTTGGCTTTCTATCACTATTTTTTTGACACTTGAGGACATCACTTCTTCGTAGCAAATGATCAGAAGATGCCAAGGAGTAACATGTCGAGGTATCGAAAATGTATTGAAATCTTCCCATCTTCTATTAAGAGGTGATGTGTTGAGGTTTCAAAAATGTATTGGTGAGATGGCCAAGGGGACAGCAACTTTGAGACAGCAAATCTGAACTCCATAAAGAGTACTTTCTTGAATTAGTAAACATTGCATGATCTTAATCTTATTTTACTCTATTAGCAGAGACTTTTCGTCACAGCTTTTGTTACGGGCCTGTGTCAGAC